ACACACACACACACACACACAATTACCTTCAAATTAGAGGATTTGTTGGGAAGGGAATGTCATGCATTGGTATGATTATGTGAGCAAACAACTTTAGTTTAGCTACAAACACCGCATGCTTTTCCATCCACCTCACGTGCAGATTTAACCAATTAAATGTAATCTTGATTGAAGGTGTTTATTATGCAAACAAGCTGGAATGCTTTGCAGAAATGACAGGCTGGCACGGGAATGCATGGGGCTGTGAAGGGTGACGTGTGATTCGGCAGTCAATTCCAGAAGGAAAGTTAAAATAACCAAAGAAGTGCAGCCATGTGGAACCCTGTTCCAGTTTGTCTTGGAATAATGGTTGAATCTCTATGTTTTCCTTGGTGTTTAATGAATCGTCTGCCTGTAGATGGTTTTCGGACAATTTAGAGTGCAGAGTTTCTGCTTCATGGCTGGAATAGTAGCTTTTACTCTGTGGTTTAATTGCAGGTTTGGGCGTGGTGGACCTTGTTCCATCTGCTCTCTGCTTGAAGCTTAATCAAGTGTCGGGCACGGTGGCTGTTGGGAGCTCCTGGTCATTTTGTCACAGGCTGCGCTCAGTGGTTCTTACTGTTTACATGTACTGCCCTGTGTCCCCATGCAGGACCTGTGCTATTAGGAATGAAGGGGGAGTGGCAGGTCACCAGACAGCCAATCAGCACATGAATCTATTGGCATTTTTCCACTGCCACCAAGAATCAAGCTGTACTCGAACCATACCGTGTATTGGAGGTTTTCCAGTGAAAAATACCCGAGCTGTACCTGCGCTGACATGGGCCTGCTTGCTCCCAGGGCTGAAGGCGTGACCAAATGCAGCTGGTTGGGTCACCAGCATCTAATTGTTCGAAATGCACAGAGATGACAGTTCTGCACATGGGTTATCTGAAGGAAAAAGTGTATATTTTATATATATATAATTCATTATTAGTAGTAAAAAAGTATTGCAGAACAGCTGATTGCAATGGATTTGTAATGCAGATTTATGCAAGCTAATGCTAATTCCGCTGAAATTAGCGCACAGTAAATTATGATGTACGCTGTGTGAACAGTAACGTAAGCGCCTCTTCGGTTTGACATCGATGTTGGTCTCCAAAACCGGCACCGCCTTTACCGAGCCGACCCTTCTGCGGTGGAAAAGCTGAAGCGAGCTAGCTGGAACCATGCTGTAGCTAGTCTCTCTTCGCGGAACGACTCGGGAACGGTTCGAGAACAGCTCAGGAACAGCTCGGGAACGGTTCGAGAACAGCTCAGGAACAGCTCGGGAACGGTTCGAGAACAGCTCAGGAATGGCTCGGGAACGGTTCGAGAACAGCTCAGGAACGGCTCGGGAACGATTCGAGAACAACTCAGGAACGGCTCAGTTCCTGTATGCCGCAAGTGACGTGCTGTTAAAAATTGCGAGGACTGTTAACAATCTGCAGCCCGGTGGTTTCGCATGACCTGCAACCTTCTCAGAAGACCTACAGTGTGACATTCTGTTGGTTATATCTCCGTGGATGTGCTGCTACTTTGACCTGCACCAGAAACATCTGAGCCGAAGGGAGCAGGAGACGTGTAACATCTGACACAAATATTTTCTTTTTTGGCGGGGAGGGTCAGCTAAGTCTTTTTCTTGCGACTTTTTTAATTCAAGGGTGAGGCAGTGGTTAATGTAGATGTAGGAACTTCAGCTTTTTAAGGTATGTGGAGTCTCTGTACGTAGGCTGCTTGTGACGTCTGTGGTGTCCAACCAGACAGGCGACACATTGTAGGGTGACATAACACAGTAACTCCTGTGAAGCACAGGGTGCCAGACTGGCTCTGTTCCGGACAGAGCAGCGTTATTATTATTTAGTTGGTTAACTTTTCTGCTGACAATTTCATATATTAAGGCAAGACTTGATAGAAGGATAGAATTTCCTATATGTAGACTGAGCTGTGCTTGTTTTTGCCTCAAGTCTGTCCTGATGACTATATGTTTGTGGATCTGGGGACAGATTTCAGTCCGGTGACATTGTGCAGGTCACACAGCCGGCTGGGTCAGTCCTCAAAGAAGCTCGAGCTGCGTTTCTGTCCCCTGGACGTTTGATGTATGTCTGACGAAACGGCATGAATTAAGAGATTCAAGATGGGGCGGCCGTGTGGGTATTGCAGTCAGCAGAAGTGTTTTGTGGTCCTTTCACTGACGATACCCGGTGGCCCCCCACCCCTGATTTCAGTGCTGTGTATCACAAGGTGCAAAAGGACGATGATGAAGGAGAATAAGAGGTGATGAATTTTATTCAGCAGGCACTTTTGTTTAATGTGCGGATCAGAAAGCAGGGTCAGCAAGCATCCCAGAAGTCAATGGGGTTAAGGGCCCTACTCAAGGGCCCTACTCAAGGGTCCAACTCAAGGGCCCAACTCAAGGGCCCAACCATGGTATCGCGACTCTTCTGGTAATGGGACTTAAGCCCATTACTTATTTGACACGGATACAGATCCTTAACCCACTGAGCCACACAACGTTCTGTAGATAGTCCCCGTGACATTTGCCTCTCTTTACTTATGTTTGTTTTACTTAGCATTTTTGGCTAGCAAATTAGCTTTCCCCCGACAGGATTTCCCAGACATGCAGCGACTTTGCTTTTGCGTTGCGCATATTATACTACATCGCACTGCGATATTTTGTGTGGAGATGAAGAGTGTCCGCCGGTTTGGGGGAGATTTTGTGCTCAGTCGCGAAAGCTAAGAAAGGGAGCTCCTGCATAAGCCGGCCGTACTATAGGGGCGTGGCTCAGCAGTTTTGCAGGGGTGAAGACTGTCCAGGCACGCAGGCCTCCAGATGGGATGATGTTATGTCACGGCTCTCGAATTAAGCAGACGCCGCCTCGACAGGGAGTCGGCGCTTTAAGTTCACGGCCCCTGCTAGATGTGTGTCACCCGCCGTACGTTAAGCTGCTCACAGATCAGGCCCGGCCCGGCCTTGCCTTGAAGGGCTTTATGCTGGCCGCTGATCTGATGGCTGAATTTGGATCAGTAGGGCAAAGCGGGGTAGAGATGTCTGGGAACGTATCTGGGCTTTACATTGTCCTGTCTCCACTATGACGTCAAGTTGCCGGAACGTTCCGTCAGCAAAGATGGCTCTTTATCTCCGTTCAGAAGGTTGTTTCCACTCTATAAGGTCCTCCTCCTCTGTGCCCTGCGCCGTGTGTCTTGGACGGAGGTGTCTCACTATAATTTCGACTAGTCCACGTCCTAAGAAAAGAGGATGTTTCTGTTCTTCGGAGATTCAATGCCATGTGGGTGTGTAGCAATGCGAGGGTCACGTCTCCTGTCTCCCCAGCCCTGGAGCGTAAGATGTCCATGAGGCAGAGCAGGGAGGAGCTGATCAAGCGAGGTGTCCTGAAGGAGGTCTTCGAGAAAGGTGACCCTAAAGAACATCTTCCGTAACTTTGACTGTTAACGTCCGTGTTTGTTCATTTATCGTGAATCGCTAACGATCTCTCCTGAGTTAGATGGTCGAGCCTCTGTCACTACCCACATAGTCTAGCGCAGTGATTCTCAATAGGGTCCTGGGGGACTCCCAGACAGTCAATATCTTTTCTCCATTTCAAACTGTGGACTGTCTGGGGGTCCCCAAAGATTGGGTAGAGAAACGCTAGCCTTGTGTGGTAGTCATATCCGTTTGCTAAAATTCTGGACACGTTGACTGGAGTCTGTATCTGGTGTTGGGTGGGTGGGTGTAGGGCTCAGGGATCAAACTTCCTCCAAAGAAGGTCTTTGGATGAAGCTTTGAGGTGGTGACCAGATCCCCCTTTCCCTGTCCCTCCAGATGGCTCTATCTCGCTGACAAAAGATGACAGGAAGCTGGAGAACGGGCAATCGCCCGGACCCTTGGGCGGCACGCTGGAGTGCGACGGGGTTGATCACGCCTACCGGGGGCTGACCACCCCCGAGCTCATCGACGGCACGGGTGAGTCCATCTCGCAGTTATAATGCTTTGTCGTTGCATGATTGTGCAATACTGTGCAAAAGGCTTAGGCAGTCAAAGAAAAGGGTGTTTAAACGATATACATTTTGGTGTTAAAATTAGCCATTTCAGAACCTCCCCCAAATTCAACCCAGTATTTGCAGCAGGCTTCCAATACATTTTACATTACATTGACAATATATTTTGTGATTCGACCATTAGCACATCTCATATGGCTCAATACATCATTGAGTTAACTAGTTAACTTCATTTATTAATTGGGCTGGTGCTGAACTTTCACAAATGCATGGAATGCCAGGGTGGACCCTGAGGAGACGTTAGGGAACCCAGTCTGTGTTCATCCAGCCGTCCAACAAGAAATCAGTAACTTTTTGGAGAACAGAAGAAATTCTTGTTGGCTTTTATTATATTACTGTTAATTTCCATACAGTCTGATATTAAATCATGTTTATTTTTTCTGAACAAATATACATTTACGTAAAACCTTTACACAGTACTGCACATACTATGACAAACTGTTTGGTTCACTAGTGACACTAGCATCTGTGAACGGCAACAGAAGATTTAAATAAACAAATGATAACTAACAATAAAAAAAAAATGTGTACAATTTATAGGATAGGATTTAGAGTAGTAGATATGGTTGTAGTGTATAGTTACATAAATTGTGTAAACAAAGCATCAAATGTAACAGGACAGTTCAGGCTAACAGCATTAGCATCTTGGAGTTTGTTTATAACTCTTGGCAGAACGTTTGTTTGTTTTCGTTTGCCTTGAGGTTAGTGTCTGGATGGCCCTTTAGCATTTGCCTGATGGGAGGGAGACAAACAGGTGTGTTTCCCTGTGACACACACAAGCGGTCACAATATGAGGTTACATCAGAGATCTGTCTTCATGCTCACTCTCGTCACACCTCTCTCCTCTGCTCCTCATTAGCCCCCGGAGAGTACCGTTCTTCCCTAGAAGGCGGAGTCTGTGTCCAGGACTCCGCCCTCAAGCCCACTATCGTCCTGCCCGCTAAAAAATGCAGCGAGAGCCAAGAGACTCCCGTCAAGCCGCCGCTGTTCCACAAGCAGCCCCCCGCGCTGCCGCCCAAACCCTTCTCCAGAGTCCCCAACCACATCACCGGTGGGTTCCTTGCACATTTCCTTGTCACTAAATCGGCTTGTGGGAGTTTTGCTTACACAGAAATATTCTGAGGGCAGAAGGAAAAGCAACTAAAGGAGGCAGGACCAAGATATGTGATTGGTTGGTCCACACCTCCTCTAGTTGTTTGGATCCACCTCCTCTACAATCTGATTGGTTCAGAGAGATAACCAATTATTTTTCCTTCTGCCCTCAGAACACATAAGGTGACAGGCTCATGACCTGAAGGTTGTGGGTTCAGGTCCCAGGAAGGAATCCCATAGCAGTAATTTACCCTGATTTCCAGTAACTTACCCTGCTTTCTAAATGGTTTTGTCTTGTTGAAGTTAATCTTAGTCACACCGCATTATTACTTCATTGATTGTTAACTTTAGTTGTATTAATTTTGATACTCCAGTGCAAGAACAGTGTGAGCGTAGATTGATAGGTCACACAATAATTTTTAAAATGCTAATTAATTGCACACCTTGGGGATTAATTTAGCATACTTAATTGTGCACTTTGGGGTTTAATCACATACCTAGTCATGTTGCAATACCATCAAAAATATTTTTATAGTCTGTATATTTTGTGTAGAAATTAAATTCTATTAAAAATATTTAGTCATACATGTTAACATTCATCTGATACTTTTTCCAATGCCGCTTACAGTAGATGGAAAGGTGACGATTCATGTGTTCTCTCTGGGATTTGAACCCACAACCCTTTGTATTGCTTGCTCAATACCCTACTTGTTGAGCTAGAGGAGCTTAATCTGTTAATGTGTTAACTTTGACAGTCTCTTTAATTTATTTTTACAGTGTTTTGGTTATGTGTGAAAGATTATTTGTAATTTTTAATGATATTATAATGTTTCTATTATATTATTTATTGTATTGTATTGAACAACGAACAAGTCTTATTTCTTTATATGGTTTAGTATTTATAAAATGCCTTTACAGATTTGGGGCAGCCTATCAAGCTGCCCTGCCTGGGCCCCAAGCTCTCCCCCCCCCTGCCCCCCAAGAAGGTGATGATCTGCATGCCGGCGTCCGGCCTGGATCCGCCGCTGCCCTCCTTCGCCCAGCGCGTGTCCGCGGCGCCGCCCGCGCCCTACCACGCCAGCCTGCTGCCCACGCCGCTGCCGGGCCACTCGCTGCAGTATGGCACGCTGCCCATACCCGTGCGGCCGCCCAGCCGCGTCATCGAGGAGCTCAACAAGACGCTGGCGCTCACCATGCAGCGGCTCGAGAGGTGTGTGCTGCCCCCCCCCCGCCCCCGTGTGGCGCCGCCCCGCCTGCTGCCCCCTTGTGTGCCCCCCTGTACTCCCTGTGCTGTACTCCCTCATGCCCCCCCGTACTTAGTCCTTCATCTTACCCCTTTCTGGGTCTGTGTGTCTCTTCTCTCTCCCCCTGTTTTTTCTCTTCCATCTCTCCCCATTCTCTCTCTCTCTCTCTCTCCTCCGTCTCTCCCCCTGATCTCTCTTTCCTCCATCTTTCTCTCCTCCGTCTCTCCCCCTGATCTCTCTTTCCTCCATCTTTCTCTCCTCCGTCTCTCCCCCTGCTCTCTCCTCCGTCTCTCCCCCTGCTATCTCTTTCTCTCCTCCGTCTCTCCCTCTGCTCACTCTCTCCTCCGTCTTTTCCCATCCTTCATTTTGCCCTACTTCTCTTCCATTCAGTCCTTCATCTTCCCCTCTTTCCCACTCTCTTATTCCTCCTCTGTCCTCTTTACCTTTCACTGTGTTCCTGGTGTGCATCGCATCTTTACCTCTCTACATTTTTCTCTGTGCCGTTAACGACCCTGACTGACCTGCTAGAGACCACAGACAGCAGTGGGGGGGGGGGGGGGGTTGTTACAGTCATGGACCTGCGTCACACAGCCGGAGGGGGTCCTGCTCTTGTCCCTTGGAGCGCGGAGCTTAATCGCAATGGTTGTACTGAAGGGTGGAAGCTTAAAAAATAAGAACATCCACTGAGTGACTGAAAGATTCAGTGCTGGCTCTGTTCAGCTCTCTGCGATTTGGCCCAGAACACTGAGCCCTAAGAAGAGCCGGTTCCGTCCACAGATGGGAAGAGCCGCCACCCGGCCAGGTCACGTGACTGAGACGCCGGGAAGAACGCGAACATGGTTTGGGTCTTTCTCTGAAGCCTGGGGTTCTGATAAGATGTAAGTTCAGGGCAGAATTAAACTTAAGAGTGGAGGGTGCAATTAAAAGAGATTTGGTCCGTTAGAAATTCATTTGGAGGCTGGGAAGGTAGGATCATTATGCACTAGATGTTTTAATATTGGACTTTCTTATGGATAGTGTTTGTGTGGTTTAATTATTGGAGAACTTATTTTTAACTGAGTTTAAGCCATTTTACTCTATAAAATTGCCTGCTCTAGCTAGCTTTTTAAATTATATTGTTCTTGTGTGGGTCAGAAAGGGCTGTTTAAAAGTTTCTGGTTCTGTATGAACCAGAGGGGGGAGACATACTGTTGCGTATCGTAGGGTATTAAATGTTATGGCAAAATTCAGTGGTTTCTTGTCAAATCTTGATGTGCTTTGTTGAAATGCACACTCCGCTCTCAGATGATTGGCTGATTGATTGATTGATGGCTTGGTGGGCCAATAGGAGCCAGCCCACCGCCCATCATTAGTTTCTCTGGCATCTCACTAGGACACGGATTGCAGATGCTGAGGTCAGAGGTCACGGTCCTTCAGTGTTTGGTTGTGACTGCTGGGCGATGAGATTGCGGCCGTGTGGGCAGACCAGGAAGAAAAGGGAAAAGTTAGTAATGCTTTTCGGCACAAGCTAACTGGGTCAGCCGCCAGCTCTGGCACACAGGACAGGATGACCTCAGCCCTGCCAACCCCCCGCGCACTGGGCCTGGTTCTGAGGTGATGGGCCAACACGGCGGGGGGGCATCACGGACCCCCGGAGCCGGGTGCCCTCCCCTGACCCCTAAAAGGCTCATGACCTGAACCCCCTTAAAGGCATCTATGCTGCTGTGCTTAGGGCAGGGAAGGAAGGGGTTAAACTGTTCTGGGACAAAATGGACCCATGCTGACTGGACATCTGAACCTGGAGCGGATTAGAGAAATACTTATTGTCCGTTTTTTTTTTCTCCTGCCTATGAGTGATTTGTTATGTCCCTTATAAAAAAGGCAGACATTTCTGCATGGATCTGATCCATCCTGCTCAGGGATTCTGGGTAACTGTGCCGGGGGAGGGGCTTGCAGGGAGGGGCTATTTGTAAGCATCTCTTTACACTTTGAAGACAGGGATGTAGAGTGGCTGGGAGCGTGGTCAAGACAGCAGCCGGCCGCCAGGACTGGTTTCCAGTAGGGTCATGCGGCACTTCCTGTTTGCCAGCTGCAGTAAGAGGGCGGGGCCCCATGATGCAGCCACCCGGCTTGTCTCGCCTTCTTGTGGTCGGTCCACAGCGAAAAACCGTGGGGGAGGTATGGTCTCGGCCATTTTTAGGGGACTATCTGACGTGGTCTGATCCGTTCCTGCTCCCCCGAGGGACCCCTGCACCCCACTGCCCTGTTTCCTGTCATATTGCTGGACGCTTCACCGGGACGTCTTGGTTCGGAGGCAGCGTCGCACCCCCCACGTTGTGGGGAGGACAGGGTGCTTTTCAGGTCATGGGGCCGTGCGGGGATTTAAATTTTCGCTAAACCTGCTCCTTTTCATCCCTCTTTTGGGGCATGAAAGCCGTTTTGTCAGAATAAAATTGCAACGAGTGTGAGATGTGGGGAGGATTTTCCTGCAAGCAGATCCGCTTGACAGAGATAATAAAAAATACCCCCCCCAAAAAAAATTAGGGATGATGACAATATCATAAACTGCAGCATAGGTGAGGGGGAGAGTGAAGCACACCAAACAGAACCGGGGAATAACGTTAGTGGTCACCGATCTCATGGACTCTGCGGTTTGTGTACCCCCCCCCCCCCCCCAGCTCAGCGATGCACATGGGCCAGTGCGCCCTACAGGACAGCCGGCCGCTGCCCTCCATGCTGATCGAGTGTGAGGACGACAAGGAGAACGTTCCAGACGGCTCGGACTACGAGGACCTGCCCAGCATGTACAAGGACCAGGATGAGGAGGAGGACGACGAGGATGAAGACGAAGACGACTCAATCTTCACAAGTAAGAGCTCCACCCAACCGGCCGCCTTGTCGTCGGTCTGTGGTGGTGATTACAATACCGAGGCCTCGTGTGCAGGGAGTTGAGAGGCAGAAATCATGTGATCGTGTCGCCACGTGAACGGCCACTAGGGGGCTCTGCAGGGCATGATGTTTCCAGAGGCCATTTGAGTCTGTACCCCCCAGGCTTGGGTAGGTTTTATTTCTCCATGTACCTCACGTTCCATGCTTCATGACTACCAAACCCGCCCCCCGATGGGTCACTGCATGCGTGACCAGTGACATTAAGAACAGCTCTTGCGTATTGACCTATGCTCCCGTGAAATGGGTCCCTGGGCTCTCAGGGGTAATTTAGACCCGCCTCCCGCTGGTCCAGGCCAATCGCTTTGGAGCACGCCGGAAAGCTCCGCCTTCCCCGGCCAACAATCTCAGCCAGTGACGCTGTGAGTCTGAAGGAACACGCCACGAGCGGCAGTCCATCGCTCCGGCCTTTTCGAGCTCCCCGAGGATCCAGGCTGTGTTTACTGCTCAAACGGGCAGCACGGGGGGGTAGACAAATATGGGGAGGGGGGTCCCTGTGGAAGGGCAAGCCCTTGCTGGAATGAATTACTAGCGGGATTGTGTGGTATGCATAAACTTTCTGGAAACTAGGTTTGTCTTATGAAGTTGTCACTGTGCAGAAGGGGTAGTTGCCCCCCCCCCCCCAAATCCCCGCAGTGACGCTGACAGTAAAATCTGACAGCAGCCTGTGTCTATACATTACTGATTGTTAACAGTCATTGTCTGTGGTCATTTCACTTATGTTTTGGTACTTCGGTTTGTTTATGGAGGTAAAGAGGGTTTCGTCTTGAATGTTTACTAAAGCGGTTTCAGTGTAATACACACACGAGGGGAGGTGAGTGACCCTGCACCCCCCCACCCCCCAGGCTCGCTGGCGCTGAAGGTGCTCAGGAAGGACTCTTTGGCCGTCAAGCTGAGCAACCGGCCGTCGCAGCGCGAGCTGGAGGAGAAGAACATCCTGCCCATGCAGACGGACGAGGAGCGGCTGGAGATGCGGCAGCAGATCGGCACCAAGCTCACGCGGTACGGGGGCCCTCCGCCGCGGCCGAGCACGCGTCCCTCTGTCTCTGTCCCTCGCGGCCGAGCTCGCCGTCCCTCTGTCTCTGTCCCTCGCGGCCGAGCTCGCCGTCCCGCTGTCTCTGTCCCTCACGGCCGAGCTCGCCGTCCCTCTGTCTCTGTCCCTCGCGTCCGAGCTAGCCGTCCCGCTGTCTCTGTCCCCTGCGGTCGAGCTCGCCGTCCCGCTGTCTCTGTCCCCCGCGGTCGAGCTCGCCGTCCCGCTGTCTCTGTCCCCCGCGCCCGAGCTCGCCGTCCCGCTGTCTCTGTCCGCCGCGGCCGAGCTCGCCGTCCCTCTGTCCCCCGCGCCCGAGCTCGCCGTCCCTCTGTCTCTGTCCGCCGCGGCCGAGCTCGGCGTCCCTCTGTCTCTGTCCGCCGCGGCCGAGCTCGGCGTCCCGCTGTCTCTGTCCGCCGCGGCCGAGCTCGCCGTCCCTCTGTCTCTGTCCGTCGCGGCCGAGCTCGCCGTCCCTCTGTCTCTCTCCCCCACATATTCGCACGTTGGCATCCCTCTCTTTCCTCTCCCTTGCGCTCTCCCTCTTTGTTACTTGTTCTCTCTCACTTTCCTCTCCCTCATTCACCCCCTCACTCTCTCGCCCTCCGTCGCTCTCTCCCCCTCACTCACTTTCTCTGCCTCATCCCCGCTCACTGTTTCTCTCTTCTTTGCTCTGTCTCTCAGTTTATCACTTTCCCTCAATCTGTCTTGTTCCGTCTGTCCTGATTGCTCAGTCTGTCTTTCTTCCTCTCCCTCTTTCTACCTTTCTCTCTCCCTCCCTCATCCTCCCTCTCGCCCTTGTTTTACCTCTCTCTGTCTCTCCCCCTCGTTCTCTCCCACTCTCTTGTTCTCATACTTCCATTCTTTCCAGCCCCTATGTGTCCTCCTACAGTTACCCTCACTTTCGAACGCCCGCAAGCAGTATTATTTACAAACTCATCCCCATATCCAGTTACGTCTCTCTTGAATGACACCTCCACAGTCAGGCGTTGCTTGTATCACTTTTATGAAATCGGTTCTTCCCACCTCACTTAACAGGGTTGAACGCTTCCCTCAAAGATACAACTTGGTCCTGCTGGGGACCTCAGTAAGAAGCCCCAGTCCTTCGGATGTGCCATCCGTAGCGGCAGGTAGCGCGTTTAGCCAGCTGGGTGACTTGCTCCTTTCTGTCAAAGGATTTGGGAAGCAGCCCGTCTGGATTGTCTGGGATCTGCTGGGGAGTCTGTCGTCAGGGAAGCGATCAGACTCCCGGTTCTGCTGTCAAAGGGGGAGATGGGGGGCTGTTTGCAAACTCTGCAATGGGCAGACATGGGGGTGGTGATGGGGGGATGGTTCTGTAAGGAGATGAAGGACACCTGTACAGGGGGGAAGATAATCCTTATCTGACAGGGATCGGCAGTGCAGTGCGTGATTTAGCTTGTTTCTCTGAAAACTGGCTTTTACTCTGAAGTCCCATTCATCTTGTTGGGGGGGGGGGGGGGGGGACTGGGCAGTATTTATCAGTATATGTTCCACAGTGAAGCTGAAATGCTTTAAACTGGTGCAGAGCAGATGACCTCCTCTTCTGGAGCCTTGCTGAAAATGGAGCCGTCCCACTTTCAGTGCGATACCCCTGGGACGGGCTGTGCCAATGGGGCCAGCGGGGGGGGTTTAAGATGGAGAGTGTGAAGGGGTTTACGTCTCCCAGGCAGGCAGGGTGTGGATTTGTGACCAGATGCAGCAGGGATACAGAAGGGTTCAGCTGTTGTACCGTTGTACAGTCCCAACGCTGCTTCAGTAATCGTCTGGCTGCGTTCACCATTCATGTGTGAAAACGAGAGTCTGCTGAGCTCTCAGCATGACAGTGATGTGGTGGGGAGCTGCGGTTTGACCTCAGGAGGCCCCCGGCCTGTGATGTGAGTTTCAGGCCCGGCTGTTTGACGGTTCTGGCTCAGGCTCAGTCATTTCTCACAGCCTCCCGCTTCAGACTGCCAAGCTGAGACCCAGGATGGGTGTGCTGAGGACTGACTCGGAGAGCAGCACAGACCGAAAGCAGACAGATATAAAAACTCTCTATGTTTATATTTTTCTAAAACCTGATTCAGATCAACCTGACGTCCCAGTACTGATTCGGGCTTCAACTTTCGTCCGCTCCACCCTGCCCACCACCCCGTAGAACCTGAACTGATGGCGCCTTCCGCAAGGAGATACAATCTCATTGGTAGTCGGTGTCCACGGAAACAGCCGGCCCCACGCAGGCAAGAGTGTCTTGGCCGATTAGAGCCCTTTCTCTGATGGAGTATGATTTCGGTATCTGTCACTGAGGCTGTGACATCCCAGGGTGTCAGAGACGGAATCGCTAAGGTGTGACCTGGGGCAGGCAATGCCAGATGGCCAGAGCGATCCTGGGTGCAGTGCTCGCTTCAGATATTTCGGGAGGTTGGATACTGATGTGTTAATCAGCCAGACTTTGATTGTTGAAAGAAACTGTCCTCTGAGAAGATCCATACGAGGTGTTCTGCATACGTGTAACTGAACTAGCTTACTGAAATGTTCTGGGACCAAAACTCCCCAGGAAATGAAACACACAGATTTAGAGGATCACAGAAACTCATCACAAACACCTATGCTGATCAGCGCCACCTAGCTGCCGGAGGACCATGTTCCCGGGGGGGTTTGCTTTCTGGACCCCACGTCCATCTGTGTGTTTTCATCCTGCTGGGGGGGGGGGGGGGGGGGTTATGCTGCATGACGGGAAGATTAGTGGGGAAGAGGAGGCTTCTGGGCGTGATCAGGTTCACCTTGTGTGCTCCGGGAACCAAAACCTAGTCAATTGCAGTTAATCTGCTACAGGGTGAGCCAGCCTCCGTAGCCAGCGGCCCCGGGTTCCGTCCTGTGACTTCCTGTCCGTGTCTTGTCTCGCAGGAGGCTGAGTCAGCGCCCCACGGCGGAGGAGCTGGAACAGAGGAACATCCTGAAACGTGAGTCCCCATCGGCTCCGCCCCCTTCTGTTCCCTGCCACGGATTCGGCGTTTTGGAAGTGAAAGCGGCAGGCGGTTTTGTCCAGTGTGCCTGCAGTAGGGGGTGGCTGATGGGGAGCCTGGGGGCTTTTCTTGGGTTCAGCCTCTCTGAATGGACGCCTCTGACTCTCTGTCCCCCCCCAGCGAGGAATGAACAGGAAGAACTGGAAGAGAAGAGGGAGATTAAGCGGAAGCTGACGAGGAAGGTGAGACACGGCTGTGGCCGCCTTGGGGGTCCTGCTCTCGCTCTCTCGGAGGGCGGCTAGTGCGCACATGCACGCACATGCTCACGCTGCTGCCCCCTGCTGGAGCAGAACGCACACTGCACCATGCCACATAAATCTCGTATAAGTCCAGCAAACCCAAGGTCCGTAAATCATTTTATTTTGGTTGAAGGTTTTCGACCCCCCCCCCCCCCCCCCCCCCCCACATCATATGCGTCTTCTTAGTGCTACACTATGTCGGTGTGATAAATCACAACGCGTGACCCCCCCCCCCCCTGGTTTCTTAAATTGAGCCTTGGGGGGGGGGGGTTTGCAGAGATTAGCGTGAGCATCGCCGCTAATTCACGTCTGTAAGCGGCGAANCCCCGCCTCCACATCATATTTTAGCATGGTTAAATGTTACGCCTGTAAGCTTTTGACTTAACCAGACCGCGCCGGTTGCGTTAGGCCGGATGCGGCAGCCCCTGGGCTCCGCAGGCAGGACGCAATGCCACCTCCGTGTTTCTATGTGAGAAGAGGAGTGTTGGCGTGCGTGAGTTGGGAGGCTGGAGCCCGTTGCTATAGCAACGTGAATCATTTACTTCTGGGCTCATAAGTAGTATCAGATAAACGTTCTGTCTTCGCCACTTTTAGAAAATAGGGGGGTTTTCTTTTCGTTTTTTTTTGATAATTCTTTCCACAAATTGAATCTTTGCAAATGAAAGGCGACTACGTGAACAGTGGAATTCCTCTGGTTCCAACTGACTGCCGTTTGACTGGTGTGACAGTCTTGGCATGTGTGTGAACCCAGCGTTTTTTGACACCCCCCTGTCCTGTGTAGAAGTTCTAAACCTACTTGCTGGGGGGGGTTGGGGGTGTCTCTGCGTGGTTTGATTTGGGGGCCCGGCTGTCACACTGAGACAGAAGGGCGCCTGCTTTTGATGTCAGAGGCTGGGAACCGCAGCGTGGCAGATCCAATCTGAGTGGCCCCTCCCTCACTGCTCGTGGTTCTGCTGTCCCTGTAGCTGAGCCAAAGACCCACCGTGGAGGAGCTGAGGCAGGCCAAGATCCTGATCCGCTTCAGCGACTACGTGGAGGTCGCCGATGCCCAGGACTATGACCGGCGCGCAGACAAGCCGTGGACGCGGCTCACGGCGGCTGACAAGGTGAATGATGGGGGGGACCCCGTGTCGGGGGAGGGAAAGTCGCAGGTTCGAATCCCAAGGTCAGCAGAGTAATTTCACAGTTGGGCCCCTGAACAAGGCCCTTAACCCCCAATTCCTCCAGAGTCTGACAGACCCTGCCTTCTTTAAAAAAATGAATAAATAAATAAACATTTACGTTACTTTGGATAAAAAACGCCTGCTCAATAAACAAAACGGAAAATTAAACTAAATCAAATATGTAGGGGGTTTTATCCCCCTTTTTTTTTATTATAACAATGTAAATATTCTCCATAAACGGCATGATCAGTACTGCAGGTCATGTGACTCTCCGGAAGCCAGTAATCAGCTCCCGATTAATACGGCTCCAACGTAAGACGCATGGCTGTAATACGGAGCGCAGGCCCCCAGGCTGAGCGAGGGAAAGCTAATCAGGATCACGCAGGGGACGTACGGCCCCACCTGGAGCAGCGGATGAGCCAGACAGAGGCGAGGCACCTTATCCGACATCTGTTAATTAAGATTGTCCCCAGGGACTTGGGAGGCTGCCTCTGTTCCACGTTGATTGGAAAGGCAGAGAAAGGGGCCCCGGGTCGGACACGGAAGAGGCCCGCTTCCCCCCCCGGCGCCGTGGGACGGACCTCATTGCCATGTACCGCTCGCATTGCTTGCTGTTTTTACTCCTGCTGACTTAGAGGCCCCGATGGCACGTCCCAGTAACGCGATATCAGAGACCCGGGATGGGGTCTGCCTTAGCCGACTCTTTGGATCCAAATCCTTATCTCCTATGCTGCAGAAATGACTTATTACACCCGCTGCTCCTTAGCTGGGTTTTTAAATATTGGAAATTCTGACTAACTTTTGCAGGCAGCCTATACACCTAGCTACCTATTCCCAGCACTGTTCCCCTCTTAATGCTACACTTTAAAATGTGTTCTGCCCCCTGGTGGACAGGCACAGTCACTGCAACACACTTGAGCCAGATGGGCACTTGGTATGGGAGTCGGACCTCGAGAAACGTGGCCACGGCACTGCGTTGCATAACGGCCCATTACGTAGGAAGTACAGACGATGCCGTAAGATCCAGGCTCCATCTTGCTACCTCAGTCTCCTTTGGTGATGCACTGTAAGGCTGCTTTTCCACTGCACCAGTATTTCAAAAAAGTATCAAAAATGTGGTACTACTTATGTTTTTCCACTGCCGTTAAAACTGGCATCAGTGCAAGGCAAGCTATTTTGTACTGAACTGGAAAAATGGCTATAGTAATATGGCTAGGCGATGTGTGATATTAATACCAACACTGCATGTTATGCACATAAAAATTATCATATCGCAAAGATCGCGATAGTCAGCTGGGTTGAGATCAGGCTTTTTCGTACTGTCTGGACAGTATAACGCAGGCGGGTTTAAGAGTCGCGCAAACATTTTTACTCTGTCATAAGAAACAAAACTTAGCAAGCCTTGCAATTTTAATGATCATTCCTTTTCAATATTATGTAATATATATTTAAAAAAAAAAAAAACAGTTTAAAGTCATAAATGTTTTCATGCTTGATGTTTAAATCATTCCTAGTCGGGTTTGTGAGAAATATATTTATTGTGAGCCCAATATTTATTGCAACAAAATCGTTTTGCAATATTTTGAAAATTTTCCAATATTGTGCAGCCCTAGTATATTACAGCAAATACCCTTTTTGTGTCTCGTTGATCGTTATTCTGACCCTGTCGCAGTTAAACTTGTTTTTATTACTTATTTCTTTACTTTTATTCTTGTGTTCTGAATTCGTAACTACGCTTTCTCAGGACGGGCGAATGTATTTATTGTTTGAGGTGCAGGTTATTTCATAACCAATCGACAACAAGAACATTTGCAAGTCCCACCTCAAAGTACTAAAGTACCGATAAAGTATCCCAGCTGGCTTGGTACATTCGTTACTGGTACCTGACTGGAAATCGGTGGAAAAGGGAAGGTACTGATTGTGTGGTGGAGGAGTGTCCTAGTTGATTTCCCCAAGTTCTAATATGGCCTCTTTTGACTGGGCTCTTCTTCACCCCTTGGGAGGAAAGAGCGCCTATTTCTGTGCTTTACGTTGATTGGGTGGTGAGAGACTGGGGACATTGGTTACCAGTCACTTGAGTGGAGGGGTTTCTGACACGCAGGTCCTGTCTCGTCTGTGGGATTAGATCACCTGTGACCTGTGATTATAAATAAAATATCAAGATTTGGAGCTAGTCTGAGTGGGAAATGGGGGCAATCTGTCGCAGATTTTTGTATAAAGGGAATGCGTTAATGGGTATTGCGTATTTTGCCGATGACAGACTGCATGAGTATGAGTGAATAGAGGGGCTGGGATGAGTTAATGTTACAATCAGGCTCCAAATTAATGTGTACACAGCGAAACTGGAGCAACTTCCCCCTTTGAGGACTGAATTGTGTCAATGACTTCACTCGTCAAATAAGGCACAGAAAATGTCACCCCCTCCCTCCCGCCCAGTGAGGAACATGGAGTACTCCGATAGACCGTAGAGTATCTTCACCTTCCCCTGGGGCTGCATAAATGATGTAGCTGCAGAATAAGACTGATGTTCCTCCACTTTGATCCAGTGTCTCTGGCCGCCAGAGTGCTGTCGCTCCCCCACCCCCCACCTCAGAAATATCCCTCGTCTTTCAGGCAGCGATACGGAAGGAGCTCAACGAGTTCAAGAGCACCGAGATGGAGGTCCATGAATCCAGTCGCCATCTAACCAGGTTAGAGCATTTGCTGCTCTTTCACATTAAAAGTCCCTCCGCGTTGTCCATTTTTAATTGAGCGCTATTTCTGTGCTTATTTTTAACATGAAGATGACCGCAGTCGGATAAATGAGTCCAGATATTTGGCTAGTGAGTGTCATTAATGCTAATGAACACCTACGGGTGCCCTATGTAATGTTATGTCACCCCTGAGGTTCTGCAAAATGTCTACGTGAGACAGAAGGACATCCTCCGGCGCGTGTCCCGCTTAATAGCTGCCATAAAGCCATGGATTACTCACCCGTTAAGCTCTTCTGCTCGTTAAATACAGCTCACCGGCTCTGTATCATCTGTGAAAAGCAGTTTTGTAATTTTCCAGGTTCCACAGGCCATAGAACCCCACCTTGGGCAAAATGCCACACGGGCATTACCTCCCCGTCACCCCTCAGCTCCTCCCCCCGCCGCCCCCCCCCCCCTAAGAATCTGAAGTGCTGGATCTTAAGGTGCCCACGTCGAGGATGAGGTCCCATCACTTCTGAACTGCCTTCCAACACCTCGGACCAGCCTGTACTCCCTGTACAGACCTGATGATCAGAGGCACAGTCAGACACCCCTGCCACCCTGCTCCTCGCCCCCCACACAGCCTCACCTTGCTTAGATTAGCAGCTGCACGAAACGCGATCCCATCGTACCCACTGCTGAGGTGGCAGGAGCGGAGCCAAGACACCGCCTGGATACATCCTGCACTGCATTACTCCCCCGGCTCTCCCTAGAGACCTAACAGCCTGGAAGCTGTGAGGGTCTGACAAGCTGGGATTCCTGTGCAATAGTCCTCTACCTTAACCCGGTACAACGCCCCCTAGTGTCCACTGTGTTCATCCATTCATTGGCAGCACATTATTAAAGCTGTGGAGGATTCTGGAAAACTGCACTGCGCACCTCTGTAATCCTCTTCCAAACACAAGGGTTGGCTCTCACGGCTGAACCGGTAATGTCGATCTACTGCTAACTGTGAATCAAGTGCAGACAATGTTTGCATTTTTTTTAATGTACATTATGTTTATATTTAAGTACTAAAATATTATTTAAAGTACTGTGGTGCTTCAGATTTCCAGCGGGACACTGAAAGGTCACTGTACAAATACAACAGGAAACATTAAGTCTCAGTTCAGTGGTTTATTTGGGCTTTTTTAATGGATCTACTTTGTTTTTAATTTTATTTGTCAAACTTTTTTTTTTAAAACTTCTGTCAAGGGATTTTGAAATCAGTACTGCCTTCTGTAGCTCTGTGGAGTGTGTACCCACGGGACTGAGTCTCGTCCAGGGATATTTAAATTTTAATTCGTTTATTTTCACTGCTTCGTTCCGGTTCCCATTGCGTGTGTCGCTAATTTTGGATAACGATAGCCAGCGAGTGTAGAAATATACACATTGCGTGCCATCCTCAGTCGAGAGAGACGTTTTTAAAAATAATGTTGAAAGCAATATGCTGTAAGGCTGTAACGCCAGGGGAGACTTCATAGCCGTTCCATTTTCCTACTCAACGCTCATTTTAACATCCTTTGGTACATGCCGTGCGGTTTCCTCACTGGTATGTCTTACACTGCATTTATTTTTACAGAAAAGGACACAGTTTAAGACCATTTTCCACTCCCATAATGGATTAATGCACCAGTTTGGTCTTTCGTTTTGAGTGCATTATCCTTAAGCTAGCTGCAATACAGAAAGGTGACATTGTTTAATGTAGATAAGACTGCACATCTTCACACGTATAACAAAACGAACTACCATCCTCCCCCAATAAGGTTTCTGATCACTTCTAGTAACCTGAAAGAAACGGTTAATAGTGAAATTCAGGAAACTCAATGAAATGTAGGAAGTTTTATTATAGATTGACGTGTTTACGGACCCAGAAAGTTAAGTAAATGCTAATCAAGAGGGGTCAGAATTTTCATGCTGTCCCATGTGAAGGATAATGATTAAACTGTGTGAGCGCGGCTATCCTGCGTCCCCCTTGATGTCTCCAACAACAAGACGAGCTTAATTCTGTTACATTAATCACACTGCTGCGGCTTAATTCGATTATGGACAAAATGCATTTGGTACCCTCTGTTCAAGCAACATGTGAGTTAAATGTAATTACAACATTAAATGTCAAATCTAAAAGGTACTGGGAGTGTTATTTATGATGAAGGTTTTTTTTTCGAGCTGGGTATTTCTGCTGTTTGTCTTTCTGTGCAAACAATGCACAATGCATACATGTTTAGAGCCGTTAGCGCAACGGAAGAGCCTTGTTGTGTTGTATTGTTGGATTAAGGAATGTGTATTCAGCAATAACTATTTTTGTTTTCTTTTGCTTGAACTCTGGAAGGCGAATGTTTGTCCCTAGCCACTGTTTCCTGAAAATATAGATAATTTGCCGCTGTAATGTAAAGCATTATCATGTCTACATTAAATGTTATGACCTCTTTGCAGTCCTGATGTTTTCGTAGCACTTCCGTGGATAAAACAGATTACGAAACGGCCTTAATTCCTTCTGTTGTGGTGTAAGTTTTTTTTGTTGTTCCTCAATGTTTTTCCATCAGTTTATCATTTAAACTAAAGGGAAATTTCACTGCCTTAAATATTTTGTTGTAATAAACGATGGGTCCTACTCATGATTGCGATTTACACCAAAAACTCAGTGAAGAAGTGGCGTGAGTGGTCTCTGGAATTCCAATCCATCCCGATTTATTCACGGTATAACCTGCGTACCTGGACTCTCCCGTCCTGTCAAAGCCTTCCTGTACCTGACCGGTCCTTCTATAGAGCGGTGGGAGGGAATAAGTTGAGGAAAAGGTCAACATTTAATCAGTATCGAAAACTATTGTCACAATGATTTGGCATTCAATAATTTTTCTTGAACGAATTTTGGTTAGAAATGTACCACGAAATACACTCCGATCGTATAATTTACAAATGACTTCAAACTAAATTCCAAATCGCTAAGATTTTGAGTGTCCAGAGCACGAGTCGGATAGAAACGCTAAGAAAGCGGTCATGCTTCAACATTGGTGTTTTGCAGGAATATCTGACTACTTTGCAGCCCAGTGATCCCAGTTAATGAACTTCCAAATCCCGGAGGAACGTTTTCTCTGTCTCTCACGCTGTTTTAACGCTTCTTGCATCGCTGAACTTGTTTTGCCGTATGTCGTCCTGCTTCCTCACGCAGGGAAAGGCGCTGCCCCGTTAAAAAAAGATAAAAACGAAAAATTCGTTTGGAAAACGAAAGCTGCCTTTTAGTTTGATTAGTTAAAAATCGGTTTGAACCTGCCCAGAAACGTAAAGCTCAACAGTGCGGTAGATTAATTTACCGGCAACCAGGGCCGATTCAGAAGATGCTTTTAGGCCTACGCGCATTCTCAAAATCTCCAGTGAACTTTTGGGTGCCTTGCTGATGGTAGGTGGTCTACTTCTGAAATGGGTTTAACTCCATCGTTTGAAATATCGCACCCCCGCCAGCATACCCCTCAACATTATGAATTAAGATTAGTTTAATTAATCTTGATACATACAGGATGGACTCGAGCAATATTTCTCAGAGGGAGGCTGCTAACCTTTTAGCTATACTGACCTGCTTCTGCAATCATCTCCTCTATAGCTCCAGAATGGTGTCCCGTTGAGCTCGCGTTTTGTACTTCCAGTCAAACGCTTCCTCTCGCTTTCTCTAGAAAAGCAAATTGACTTGTTCTGGAGAGCTTCAGAAGCCAGTCCCGCGTGCCCCCCACGTTTCTGGTATGGGCGTGAGCACATGTTTGTGAAATCCAGAAAATGTGAAGCTTTTATATCTTATGAAGAAACTGAGGGAAATGAGGTTTACTCAAGCACAATTTATACTCAGAAATTCCCCTCTTTTAATGTCGTCATTCTACTTTGCAATAAGTCGGCTTTTGCGGTTTGGGATTTTGACACCAAAGGCCGGACGGGAGAACAGATTCAGCCAAAACTGACTTTTATGGCTCTGGAAATAGTATAATAACAATTTGTTTTTTTTTTTTTTTTTTTTTAACTAAAGAGAACTTACTTTGCCCATGATTTCAATGTCTTCATGTAACACAGACAATTCAAAATGTTTATACGGTTTGTCTCTGAATGGCGTTAGTGTGGTCGGCTGCTCTGTTGTCATTTTCGTGTACGAAATTTGTAAATAATATAAATTTACCCATGTCTAAATAATGTCATACTTTTTGTACAGTTGAAAAAAAGCGCATGTAACCATGTAACTTATTTGTTGTGGTGTTTGCAGTTTCTCATAAAGAAACCTTATTAAACTCTTCTTTTCCAGTATTTACGATTATTTCTGTTCATAATTAGCTGCTGTCTTCAGAAGGATCACCGAGCAAGACTTTCTTCATAATGTAAACGTAACAATTTAGTTTAAAGGAGCAGACTCTTGCTACCCCACAGCATTGTACTGGATCATTTAAAAAGGTGTACTAAGATTGTAGGTGTGCTAAAGCTAATTGCCCTGGGTCCTTTTTTTGTCATGGCCGTCTGTGGCACAGCCCGATGACACAACCACTACTCAATACAACATACTTCCTTCCTTCCACTTCCTGTACCATCTTTTCCTTCTTTTACCCACACCCACGCACAGAGCACAATCAGGAGTTACGCAGTGTAACCAGTACTGTTCCTTGTTGCCACGGGCAACATTCTTATCAGTAACCTGAAACAGACACCCCCCCCCCCCCCTCCTCAATGGGTATCTTTCAGGCTGGCGTCCTACATTACGGCGTTCTGTGGTTAACGTGACATTTAATTAAAAGTGGTATACACTCAAAACACCACCTCTTCACTTTTTTTCAACTCTACTTGGCTGTGTTTGCTAATCAGAATCTCCCTCCTGTTCCTCTCTCTGGGGGTGGGAGAGTGGGGGGGCGGTGAGGCTGCTGGAGTTTATTCTAGCAGGCACAAGGCTAGAGTTCAGAATAATGTACAGCAAAATGTCTATAGTTACGAAACACGTGCACACAGGCCTATCTATTTGAGTAGGTGTCTGTAAACATTAAACGTAATCTCATTCTTGTAACATTTCACTCATGCAGCGAACCAATCCATTATTAACAACCAGACAGGTCAAGGGTTCCAAAAACGTGTCAGTATTAACCTCCGCCTGGGTAAGTCCCACTGCAATATCGCTGACCCAGTTACAGTTAGACTTGGAGGACCGAGCTCCGGATCGTCTCAACCAGACAATCTCTTCAGCCATTAAAGCTCCCCAAAGCATCTCGACACCGAGTCGTACCAAGAAAAATCAGCCTTCCGAATTTTAAATAGGTGATTAGGTTCTCCAAATGTTACTGAAGGTAGATTAGTGGGTGTATAAATAATTTGCCAGTAAGTTTTACTCGAAAGAAATATATATGCGTTGTGTTATAAGTTATGAGTTTATTATGCACAGTATTGTAGTTTGTCACCAAACACCATTAGTCATTCAGTTTTCTGAGGTAATTCCATATACACAATCGTCTGTCACAGCTGTTTTCCAATCAGTTTGATAACATACCCCTCAAATGACTCAGTGCTGACTACTGTACAAGGAGCCCCAGAGCATTATCACTGCGAGACACCCACAGCTTCCCGGCAGCATCACCGTTAAGCAGATGCAATTACTCGGCGCCATCTCAATAAGTTAACTGTGAGCACCTTCCCGCATGACACAACGAATTTACTTACGTGCAATACCACGTGACGGGGCTGCGCTGGGATACAGTGACGGCACGCGAGCGATAATCATGGCTATTGTTTCGCGCCATCTTGTGGCACGTCTGTGTCACTGCAACTAAAAGTAAGCACAGTACAGTACATTCGATTTATTCAGCAATATAATGACGTGCTTCCATTAATTAACAGATTTTTCAATTGCCGTTCATTTAAAAATTGTGTGATTGCCCCGCGATGAGCTGGCGCTCCATGGGTCATTGCCTGCTTTGCACAAGCGGGTAGGCCTATAAAAAATGGATGGATTGATGATTATATATGTCACATTATTTTCTGTGGCTTTACAAATGCATTTGTGGTCATTTCATTTATGTTTTTCATTATAATGTATCATATTGATCTACTTAGATTTCCAGAAGGCCTTTGATGTTGTCCCCCACAAACAGCTCTTGCTTAAGCTCAAAGCTGCAGGGATTTTAGGAACTGTAGCAGCTTGGATCAAAAACTGGTTAACAGACAGGAAGCGGCGAGTAATTATTAGAGGTACAATGTCACAGTGGGCCTGCATTCATAGTGGGGTCCTGCAGGGTTCAATTTTAGGACCACTATTATTCCTAATTTACATTAATGATATTGACACCAATAGATACAGTAAACTGGTTAAATTTGCAAACGACACCAAGGTGGGTGGTGTAGCAGATACTGATCTAGCAGCAGAGAGGCTACAACGGGATCTGGATTTAATTAGCGACTGGGCTGATACCTGGCAGATGAAATTTAACATAGATAAATGTAAGGTAATCCATGCAGGCAGCAGAAATATAAAGTACAGATATTTTATGGGTTCCACTGAAATATAGGTAGCAGAAAGACCTTGGTGTGTATGTTGATGCTTCCATGTCCCACTCTCACCAGTGTGGGGAAGCAATAAAAAAGGCCAGTAGGATGTTGGGTTACATCTCTAGGTGTGTGGAGTTTAAGTCAAGGAAGGTGATGCTACGATTATACAATTCCTTGGTAATACCCCACCTAGAATATTGTCTGCAGGTTTGATCGCCATACCTTAAAAAGGACATTTCTGCATTGGAAAGGGTGCAACGTAGGGCTACAAGAATGATTCCTGGTCTTAGAGGAATGTCTTATGAGGAGAGGTTAGCTGAGCTGAATCTGTTTAGCCTAGAGCAAAGGAGACTAAGGGGGGACATGATCCAGGTATATAAAATTCTAACAGGTCTGGTTGCTGTTCAGCCAAATGGCTATTTCAATATTAGTTTAAATAAATGGAAATTAGCGGCAGAACATTTTAAAATGAATTTGAGAAAGCACTTTTTTTGCACAGCATGGAGTTAGAGTATGGGATAGTCTTCCTGCTAGTGTAGCAGAAGCTAAAACCCTGGGTTCCTTTAAACCAGAGCTAGATAAGATGTTAACATCTCTGAGCTATTAGTTAAGTTCTCCCTAAATGAGCTTGATGGGCCAAATGTCCTCCTCTCGTTTGTAAATTTCTTATGTTCTTAATGAACAAATTAGCAACATTCCTATTCACTTACAGTATTCGAGCATTTAGTAGCGTTAAAGAATTCGTTATAGCATTTTATGGCTTCGTGGTACCTATACCAGATGTACAGCATCAATGGTCATCGGGATATTTGATGTTCAGTATCAATATTCAGTATTCTATGGTAAGAATTTCTCATGACAGTCAGCAGAGGGAGCACCAAGACGTATGAAACACGTTCATCGCGGCCGATCAACTGGATACACACGCATTTCATCAGAAAACATATCTAACTTATGCATTAATTCAAGATATATACTTTCAAAAATTATTATATTTAAAGATTGTGTTCAAAAATAATTGAATATCGAAAATGTATTTAGCATTGCCGCAATGCTACGTAAATATAAAAGCAGGGTCGAGGAAAGAACTGAAACCGACGAGTGCAGAACGAAAGAGCATAAAAACATTGCAACACATAACACATTAAGACATTTTAAAGATCTAGGTTTAGGTTTTTTAGTTGCGCCGCTTAGCTGCTTTGACCTAGCATACCAAGGTATTCAGCGGGAATTCACTGGGTTTTGAGCTAAGATTGGGATTAATAAAACCATTTTTGTGTTACTTTCAGTAGCCTTTAAATGCGACAGAATGAGTTGCAGCCATTAAACCCGTGTACACTGCAATTGCAGCAACTTAGCTCATATTCCCGCGATTTATCGCTGTTATTAATATTCATACGCTATGCCACTGCCGTAGCCTACAGATTTAAAAAAATACGATTGATGGTTTTCAGTAAGCCACGCCTTGCAATTACGCTACGGCCAGCAGGGGGATCAGAGGACCTAATGGGAGAGTATACTAAATATAAAATATGCCGATCGCATAAACATCAGGTCAATTTAATTTTTTTTCATTACTAAGAAAGCAACAATTTCATGTTTTTATTTTTTTTATTCTACACTGAACTGCCCCCGGCATTTTAATCGCCACACACTTCACCCAGCGCCTCACTGTGAAACGGAGGCGTGTACCGCGCGCCATCGCACCCATTTCATAACACCAATGCCCCGGACCACCAAGCCCCAGCAAGCTAGCGAATGAAAACAGAAGCCGCCTTACTTACAAGTGGCTGACGGGAAACGTAGTGTGCCGCCTCGCTGCTTAAAGGAAGACTGAAGGAGTAGAACACTACATTTCCCAGAAGACGCAGCGCCCTAGGGTAAACGCCCATAGGCATTATCTCATGAATATACAACGAGCTTTTCCACTTTCCTAAGATGTCTGCCGACGCTCATTAATATTCCCGCATACAGTTTTTATAATAATGAGATGTGGTGGCGTCTCAACCCGCTCCCCAGTCTTTCGGTTCAACTTGAGTTTCGTCCAGCACTCGGGCTCCATTATGGTGCCACGGACAGCGGCGCGGTGGCGCTGAGCGGCCCGAGGGGGGAACAGGCAGTAAGTTCGTGATGCTGTTTTTCTAGCCTTATGTCGTTTTATTTATTTTAAGCAGCCCTTCGGGTCGAATCGGCGCCGTCCGCCCGTATATGCGCTCTATTTAACGCGGGAGGGAGAGAGTATGGAGAGTGCGCGGGTCGCCGTGATGGGGGACACGCTGGAGAGGACCGGCTCCACGGCGGCTGCCGGCACAGTGGCGCACGGCTCGCAAGCGGCCACTGGCAGTAAGCTGAAGAAGCCCGGCGCGCCGTCTGGAGCGGGAGCTAGGATGCCAGCGGCGGACCATGGCGGGGGCGGAGGAGGCGGCGGCGGCAGTGAGCCGAGGTCGGAGAGCGTCGGACTGCTGGCTCCCGTCCCCCCCATCGGACAGACGGCGGGCGGCCGTGAGCGCCGGACCGAAGCTGCTCCCGTGGAGGGGGGCGCCCCAAGCGAAGGCGCCCTCAGGCCGTCCGCCAGCGTTCGCAGCTTCGCCGGGCACTCGGGCTCGCTGCTGCGACGGCGGCGGTTGCGGAGGAACCTGTCCGCCACCGCTGCAGCCCCCGGTCCCTTCGGCGGCAGGATGGGCTCGGCCGCCTCGGCGTCGTCACTGAGCACACGCAGCCTGGACAGGAAGACCCTGCTGCGGCATAAGCAGCCGGCACAGCTGCAGCCGTCCGACCGGGAGTGGGTGCGATCGGACCTCCGCAGGGGCTGCGTTCACGTTCACGACCGGCGCTCGGCGTCGTGCCTCAGGCCGGTACTATGTACGCTGGATACCACCGCCGGGGAGATCGCTCACCGCCTGAGCCAGCTGGGCGGCAGGGCAGGCGCCGCGGTCAGGGTGCCCGGCGAGCCCGGCTTCCCCATGGACTTTAATGGACCGTTACGGAATGGCGACGACGCGTCCGGCCGGCTGAGCTTCGTGGTCAGGTCCAGGGACGGCCAGCCGCCGCCGTCCGCTGACCGGCTGAAGCTGCTGCTCTTGGCAAATGACGGTAACCCGAGTCGGTGTACAGGCTCGCCGGCTGAGGTGCTGACCGCAGACGTGAACTCGGGCTCGGACGTGGAGAGCAGCCCGCTGGAGGACCTGAGCTCCGGCCCCGGGCTGGGCGAGCGCCGGGACTCATTCGGCGACGACATGATGCTGGGCACCGACGCGTCCGCCCTGAGCCCGGCTTTCGACAACGCCGCGGACGGGCTGGACACCCCGGGAAGTTCTTCGGATGAGCTGGAGCTCGACTGCCCGTCCCCGAAGAGGGCATCCAGCCCGGAGACCGAGCCTGGTTTACAGATGCATCCAGCGGATGGTGCCACCGCTGCCACCATAGACGACGGCGGGATTGGGGGTGCATCCCTGGCGGGGGAGGCCACGGATGGCAGCGACCCCACACCCACCCTGTACGTCCAGCTGCACGGTGAGACGGCCAGGAGGCTGGAGCTGGATGAGAAGCCGCTGAGGATCCAGAAGGACTATCTGTTCAAACTGGGATTTAAAGACCCCTGGAGGGTGCAGGAGGAGGGCATGGACAGCGAAATCGGCTCGCTGATCCGGTTCTACGCGGGTGAGTACCTCCAATCTCCCCGTCTGACCGGCCGTATCGGGTTCTGCAGGGCCGATGTGGGTAAATCGTGTCTCGCTTGATAACACTTGGCTGAGGTCCTCCGGCCTTTCCGCAGTTATTCACGGCCTGTTGTTTTTGGAGAGTATGAGGCTTGAATTCTGTCTGGACCCTTTCGGTCTTTATTTCTTATTTTGAATCTAATGTGTTTTTTCCCCCGTCATAAAACAGAAGTGTGTAGTCAGATTTTGCACCATTTATATCATGCATGATTATTTTAAACTGTTGTGATCTGTCTGTCCCTGTAATCAGTGCTAGCTGTTGCATGGCTTGTGTGTGTGTGTGTGTGTGTGTGTGTGTGTAAACACACTCGTGGTGTTGTTGGTGTGTATGTAAAGCTAGGTGGGTGTGTTTATGACTCGTGTGAAATCCCGTGTAAAGCCCTTCCATTGTCCTGCTGTTTAAAGTGCATGACTGTGTCACGTCATCGTTTTAGTGCATCTTTTTTTTAAAAAAAAAAAGAAAGAAAGAAAGAAAAAACTCTAAAAAGCAGATCAAACAAGAGACTGATTAATAACAAAAAAAAACTTTAGTTCAGTGCCATAAAATTGGGCAAAGGGTGTGTAAACAATTTTGTCTATGACTAGTGTAATAAAGTGCAAGGTAAATTGAAAGTCCGGCTGTGTAGTTAGCGTGCCTGGCCGAGTCATGTGACCGTAATGAGGTTCCTCCTGGCCAGGCTGTATCCGGGGAGTCTGCAGGGCATGTGGACCGTCTCTTACCAGGCCTGCCTGTGTCTTGCAGGGTTGGGGTGGGCATTGTGGTGTTCCCCGTCCTGCACTAGACGGGAGACGCAGACTAGGCGGAGGGATGGGAGAGGGGCTGTACCAAAACGCGGCATCAGCACCGCGCTGCCTGCAGGTCTCAGGCGGCCTGTCACTTCCCTGCTTTAATGAGCACCAGAGCCGCACCGAGATTCTCATCTGTGAATCTTGATATTTGTGACACTTCAGAAGGGCTCATTAAGTTTGGCGGGTGGGTGAGCTGTGTTTGCTCATCTTATGTGTGTTGTTTGCGTTTTTGTTGATGGGGGGGTCAGGATTGTGGTGCCTTGTCTGTCTGTGTGCACATTTTTGGTGTCACTCTTACAGGACAGTGGCCTGCGATCCCTTTGGAATCTCCAGGGATAAACTCTCTTGGGAAACACGCTCTCGGACCATGTCCCCTTTAGCTGTAATGGCTTCCGTTTTGGTGTGCCGTGTGCCTTTGGCGTGGACAGACATGTCCGCCAGCAACTATGGTGGTAAATATTTAACCGGCCCGCCTGGAGTGGCGTGCTGAAGGTCACGGGAGCAGGCTGTAGAAAGCGAGTCCCGATCGAGGGTTTGGAGGCTTCTGAACAAGGCACCAGACCTTTCCCCTCACACAGCTGTGTACCTTCACCTGTCGCTTCCTGTAGTCTGTAACGGGCCTTTCCCCTCACACAGCCGCGTACCTTCACCTGTCGCTTCCTGTAGTCTGTAACGGGCCTTTCCCCTCACACAGCTGTGTACCTTCACCTGTCGCTTCCTGTAGTCTGTAACGGG